TGGTGTTTTAATAATAGTATTAATGCGAGTGGGACAAATAGAAGTAATAATAATTATACTAGAAGTAATTCGGTAATGAAACTGATGATCACACTGAATATTGCTCGAGAGTCGTATGCGTGACCTACACATCTATCTACCAAACAATCATGAGAGGATGCGAATACTGGATCAGTTGAGGAAATTAAGAAACACTTAATGAATATCTTGTGGCGTATTTTGACGGATAATTAATAAGATGTGTTGGAGTTTGTTCAATTACGAGGGTGTATTCGTAATGCCCTCAAGAGGCTTATTCTTTAATTTTGTTAATTAATGAAGCTTCTTTCGATTCACTTTAAGCACTTCCCTTATTGTACACAACAATGGACAGTTTGATTTGCTCACAATATAATTAGCTATTATAGACAGCTATCGTTTTGAATTCTCATTATATCGCTTGCAATACACAATACAAAGTTTGCCATCATTACGTCAGCCTACGCAAGTGCATTCGATTTGTTTTTGAGAAAAAACAATATTTAAGGTTCGAATTAATGTTATAACTAATCATAAGTAAGAATAAAAAATTGTTACTGATTAGTTGTCAACGGAAATCAAATTCCCATTTGACTGAGTGAAATCTCACTTTGTTTAGCTGAATTTTTGGATAAATCCCCCAAAAATTCACAACGCATGTTTCGGAAAAGAACTGAGCCAGCTTCGAAGAAGACAAAATGAATTTCCGATTGCCAAGCTTTCACGAGTGATCCCCATGGGTGCTTGTTTCGATAACGATGTCAATCAGTGTAACAAAGTGCCATCTATAGTAAAACTTCAAACAATTCAACAGAATCCAATTCTCAAGTGTTTTAAATGCTTTATCTCAGTTTGCCTCATTCAAATCGTCATCCACCCTCTGACTTGCCTAGACATCATTGCTTTCGTTATTATCTTGCAGCCATCACGTTCTAATTCTGCTAAATTAGAGCGATCAACGAGAACTTCAGTTGCTAAACGGAACGAATCAGTTCGGATAAAAAGCGCATGTCTGATGTGAAGATTGCATAATATGAAGTGACTGAAAAGAAGAAGAAGCTATGCAATAAACGATAATTATGCGATGAAATGTTAACGAATTTTTCACCCATAAATGTTTTAAAAAATTTTCAAACTCAAAACTATAACTTTCAAATTTGAACTGAAACTTCATTTGAATTTGCCTTTAATCATGGATGTCACAATTTGATGACCGTTTTCTCAAAAATTATCCATACACTCGAACCAAAATTTAATGAAATTTTCTCATTATCATTATCGAGATTTCCTTTGATGTATAATAGAAATTTACAAATATATATTTTTGAGAAGTTTTTACGGTTGCTAAGTTGAGGATTACGTACCGTACGTGCTCTTTGCCTCCAGCCAGATTTCACAACAATTGTGCAGTTCTTTGACAGTTACTCAAAAATATCGCCTCAGGAATGCGTAACAGTAATTGACGGCTATTAAAAACATAAATTGTATGGACGCAAATAGATGTGAGCGCAATATATCATACGATTGTCATAAGACACAATCGAAATGTCACTCGAATAATCCGACAAAACTAACGGTTCAACATGAAATGTCATGACCGATTGCAAATTCGTCAGTGAAAAGTGATGCGTTTCAAATGAAGTCACATCTCAAAGTCAAATTCTTTTCATTTACTATACAACATTTATTCAAGAGATTTCAGCAACGCAACGCAACTCAATGGATGGAAATTTCGAATACAAGAACGTGCAGACTGCAGATTCGTAATCAAATTTCGTGTACTTCTCA